GTCCAGTTCCCCCACCATAGAGACTCCTCCTAGCACAGCGTCCTTTTTCCTCTGCTAGCCGGAAGTCCAGTTCCCCCACCATAGTGTTTCCTCCTAGCACAGCGTCCTTTTTCTTCTGCTGATCAGAAGTCCGGTTCCCCCACCATAGAGACTCCTCCTAGCACAGCGTCCTTTTTCCTCTGATGATCAGAAGTCCAGTTCCCCCACCATAGAGTCTCCTCCTAGCACAGCGTCCTTTTTCCTCTGCTAGCCGGAAGTCCAGTTCCCCCACCATAGTGTTTCCTCCTAGCACAGCGTCCTTTTTCTTCTGCTGATCAGAAGTCCGGTTCCCCCACCATAGGGTCTCCTCCTAGCACAGCATCCTTTTTCTTCTGCTGATCAGAAGTCCGGTTCCCCCACCATAGAGACTCCTCCTAGCACAGCGTCCTTTTTCCTCTGATGATCAGAAGTCCAGTTCCCCCCCCATAGAGTCTCCTCCTAGCACAGCGTCCTTTTTCCTCTGCTGACTGGAAGTCCAGTTCCCCCACCATAGTGTTTCCTCCTAGCACAGCATCCTTTTTCTTCTGCTGATCAGAAGTCCGGTTCCCCCACCATAGAGACTCCTCCTAGCACAGCGTCCTTTTTCCTCTGATGATCAGAAGTCCAGTTCCCCCCCCATAGAGTCTCCTCCTAGCACAGCGTCCTTTTTCCTCTGCTGATTGGAAGCCCAGTTCCCCCACCATAGAGTCTCCTCCTAGCGGGGCGTCCTTTTTCCTCTACCTGTTTTAACTGAAAGCCGTATCAATTGTGGAGCCGACCGGCAACAGGGAGCCACAGCAGAGGGATGAAAGAGCCACATGCGGCTCCAAAGCCCCGGGTTGCTGACCCCTGGCATAGACAGAAGCTGACTGGATTTCTGCTTCCTTTGCAGGCATCGCGATTCCAATCCCGATTCGCGGGATAGAAGACAATGGTGCCAACTTTCGGAACTTCACCTGCGTGCTGAAGCCCAACCGTTTCGGCGACTTCATCCTGTACGGCTCGATAGCCGCCTTCTTCGTCCCGCTGGCCATTATGGTGGTGAGTTACTTCCTGACCATCCGGGTCCTGCACCGGAAGGCTCACTTGGTCAACAAGCAGCCTCAACGCCTGACTTGGAACACCATCTCCACCGTTTTCCAGCGGGAGATGACAGACGGATCCTCGCCGGAAAAAATGGCCATGCTGGAGGGTTCCCACAAGGACAGAACTCTGCCGAACGGGAACGGAGAGATGCTGATACGCAGGATGTCCACAGTCGGGAAAAAGTCAGTGCAGTCTATCACCAACGAACAGCGGGCTTCCAAGGTGCTGGGGATTGTGTTCTTCCTTTTTCTGGTGATGTGGTGCCCTTTTTTCATCACCAACATCACCTCCGTCCTGTGCAAATCCTGCAGTGAGGAGTTCATCCAGATGCTGATGGAGATCTTCGTCTGGATCGGCTACGTCTCCTCGGGGGTGAATCCGCTGGTCTACACCCTTTTCAATAAGACCTTCCGGGAAGCCTTCGGCAGGTACATCACCTGCAATTACCAGACTACGGTGTCTGGCACGGCCTCCCGGAGACCCTCTGCCAGGCTCTCGTTCCGAAACTCGGTGACCGAGAACTCCAAGCTTTTTATGATGCACCATGGAAGGCGGAACGGGATCAATCCGGTCGGCTACCCAAACCACCGGCTTTGCAGCTCGCCCATCCAGTCGGCGTCGGCCGTTCTGCTGGACACGTTGCTCCTCACTGAGCACGAAGCGGACAAAACAGAAGAACAAGCCAGCTACGTGTAGCCCGGCGGTGGGAAATGCACCCTGTGCGCGCGCACGCAAAGCCCATCGGGAAACGGCAGTATGTGTATATATATGGTTTTCATCCATTATTTATATGATCCCTAACTGCAGTTTTAAGAACTGGTCTCCTCCTGCCCCAAGACCGCCTCCGTTTACTCCAGTGTAAGAGATAAAGCAAGCTTTCCGACACTGCGAGTTTATAAACGGAGGAGCCTCAATAAATAAATACAGCTCTGGCAAGTCTCGGGTCTCCGATTCCTCATCTCCGATTTATTTAAACAGACGCACACGCGACGTGACAAAAAGACAAAGGGCTACTTTTTCAAACATACGCAAGGTTTGTGTCTTTTACACAAAGATGCTTACGCTTAGGAATAAAGTGTGTATCTTAAACTTATCTAGGAATTCATTAGCGTCTTCTTCCAGAAGAACAAAGGAAGATTAAAAGGCCAGCTGTTGCCAAATTCGTTAAGTCTGCTCTTGTTGGCCAGTGCAGTGCTCCTCAAACTTTCTTGCTTGGCGGTCTGGCTGGCAGGGGGGGGGGGGGGGAAGGAGAGGAAAACCGGGCCATATGCGTTGGGCCGATGCACATGCATGCATAGCTCAACTGCTGGTTTGACGCTTGCACAATTGGATCTGTACATGTGCGTGCCAGCCTGCCACTTGCCCGACTCCAAATAGGTCACTGCCCAGGAGTGGCCGCAGACTGGGCGCTGGGGACCCCCTTTTTATGGACGTGTCTCAAAAATCCAAATCTGTCTAATAAATCTCAGCTTTGCCAGTTGAATTACGCACATATTCTTTTTCTTGCATGCAGATAGTCCTTATACTAAGACCGGCTGCATAGTGATTGTTCAAAGTTACGACCGAAACCCCCCCCCCCCCAAAAAAGCTACTTATGATCCAGATGCACCCGTTTCCCCAAAATTAAGGCTTCTGACCCCCAAAATAAGA